ATAAAATGGATGAAAATTTTGCAGATTGCCCAGACCCTAGTAAACCTCAGTGTCTTCATTTTCTGCAGAATATTTATAAATGTGAGAAATGTGGAGAAGTCTTTGATCAGTGCTCAAAACTTGCTGTCCATCCAAGTATCCATTTTCAACAGCAGACAACTGATACTGTAGATGAACTTTATAGATGTAAAGGATGTGTTAAAGTCTTTACCAAAACTTCAGCCCTTACTCAACACCAGAACACTGACACTGGAGAGAAACTCTACAATTGTAAAGATTATTGCAGAGATTTTAATCAAAATGCACCTTCTACTCAACATGTGACTATTGGTAGAGGAAGGAATCCTTACAAATGTAAAGTTTGTGGCAGAGCCTTTAAATTTTGCTCAACTCTTACTCAACACCTGTTAATTCATACGGGAGAGAAACCCTACAAGTGTAAAGAATGTAACAAAGCTTTTAATCAAAGCTCTAATCTTATCAGACATCAGAAAGTCCATACTGCAGAGAAACCCTATGAATGTAAAGAATGTGGCAAAGCCTTTAAATATCGCTCAACTCTTACTGAACACGAGAGAATTCATGCTGGAGAGAAACCCTACAAATGTACAGAATGTAGGAAAGCCTTTTATCAAAACTCAAATCTTACTAGACACCAAAGAATTCATACTGGAGAAAAACCCTACAAATGTAATGAATGTGGCAAAGCATTTGCTGGAAGTTCAAATCTTACTTTACATAAGAGAAGACACACTGGAGAGAAACCTTACAAATGTAAAGAATGTAGCCGAGCCTTTCATCAAAGTTCAGCCTTTACTCAACACCAAAGGACTCATACTGGAGAGAAACCCTACAAATGTAAATACTTTGACAAAGTCTTTGATAGAAATTCAGCAGTTACTGAACACCAGATAATGCATACTAGAAAGAAACCTTGCAGTTCAAAAAATGTGACAGTGCCTTTGATTGAACCACATATCTTATTCAGAACTGAGTAATGTGTTGGAGAGAAATCCTACAAGTGTAAAGAATGTGGCATAGAATTTGATCAAAGCTTAATCCTTACTGAACGCTAAAGAATTTACAGTGAAGAAAAGCCTTAAAAATGTATGTAATGTGACAGCATTCACCAAGTATTCAGATCTTAGATAACATCACCATATTCATGTTAGGTAAAGAACTGATCAAGGTAAAGGTTCTATAGGGGCATGTAACAATTCTTCACATCTTAATATATAAAAATTGATACTGGAAAGAAAACCTACAGATGTAAAGATTGTGTCAGATCATTGCAGTAAAACATAAAACCTTTTGTACATCCCTGTCCATTAAATAGCCTCAATTTTTAAAACTGGGTAATAAAAGACTATGAAATCAGTCATTGTATCTGATAAAACTGTATTTGAACAATAATTATTAAAGTATTTTTACATTGAATATGCAGTAAATTTTTAGTTATTGTCTTTGAACTTTAAGTGTTTTTTAGTGAATAAAAGAACGGTTGTAAGTGTTAACAGTGTTGAGTAGTAAATGATATGTTACTCTACCACAGACATTAAAATGTTATATCTTGTTCAAGTTTTTTGGAATCAGATAGTAACAGTATACTGTTGGGCAAATAGAAGAGTGACATTTTTAGTAACCCTTTTCCTAGGATCATCGAACTTTTGATACTTTGTATACCAGCATTTCCATTAGTCATAGTTTTACTGGTTTCTCTAGTTGTAATTATTTGGAAATTATGATGATTATTGAAATTTAAAAATAAGCCCTTTCTTAATTGTTAATTAGTATTTATAAATTTACCTGTGTTTTCACTTATTACTCCTTTATGTTGTAAAATACACACAGACCTTTGTATTAATTTACATTAACTGAAAAGTACACATAGTATTTACTAAGAAACTTCAGGAATAGTTGAATCGTTTAATTATGTCCTGTGTATGTGTGTGAAGTTATGTTTGAGTGAAAACCTGAGAGGAAAAGGAAATTATTGAACCAAAAGATACTTTCAAAAGGTGTGATTATTTGTTAGTAACCGAAAAAACCACATATAATTAAAAGTTCTATTTACTCAGGATGTCATTGTTCCTGGTTTACAATCTCCTTGTGCTGTATCTGACTATTTTTATTTGCTTATTACTAAAGCTAAACTTGTTATGGGTGACTTAGTGGAATTTTATGAATTACACTTCTACCTATAGGAAATTATTCTGAATAGGGAACAAACATTTCCAGTTTTTGTTCCAAAGTCAGCTTATCAGCTTCTTTTACTCGTATAGCAGTGGCTGCAGTGACATGCAGACAGGAAGGCCATCCAGCTGCCACATAATCTAGTCTCTTTTGTATCAGGACACCCCTGCAGTGCCCTCCTTTTCATTTTCATTTCAGTTTCAGTTGTATAAACAACTGAAGGTGCATGGTAATATCAGGCAGTCCCAAAGCAGGAGCAGGAGCACTCAATAACTTCTCCTTTAGAGTCTAAAAAGCTCTTTGGTGCCCAAGGTCCCATTCCAAGGGAGGGTCATTTCCTCCTTTTAATGCCTTGTACAAGGGTCTGGCAATAGCTGCAGAGTTGGTGACCCAAAGATGACTGTATTGAACTGCTCCCCCTCAAATTCCCTCAAGTCCTTCCTGGATGAGGGCTCTTTCCAGTCCCAAATGGCCTGGGTGCAGGAGATTGACAGTGAACAAGTTCCTCCCCTTAACACAAATCCAAGAAACTTTACAGCTTGCATACATATATGGGCCTTTTTTTCTGGACACTGGAGATCCCTTATCCTGTAATAAACTCTGTAGTCTCTTTGTCCCTTCTAGGCATAATTCCTGAGTTTTGGCTGCCAGCAGTAGGTCATTAACATACTGTAGGAGAGGTATCTCAGGATTTTCTTATTAAAAGGCACCAAATCTTTGGACAAAGCTTTCCTAATACTGTTGGGATTTCCTAAATCCTTGTTGGAGCCTTGTCCACGTTAGTTGACATTTTCTTATCCCCTCTGGATCCTCCCATTCAAAGGCAAACAATTCTTGGGATGCAACAAAGGAATACAAAAGAAAGCATCATCTTTTAAATTCAACACTGTATACCAAGTTCAAGTAGATGGGAGCAAGCTAAACAAAGTATAGGGGTTGGGTACAGTGGAGTAAAGAGTTACAAAAAGGGCATTTACCACGCACAAGTCCTGGAGCAGGTGATACTCATTTGTCCCAGGCTTGTGGAGGGGACTGACATTCTTTCAGCCTGCCTGCCTCAAGCAACCTTTGAATATGGTGTTTAATACCTTCCCTACCTTCCATAGTTGTGGGGTACTGTCTCAGGTGAACTGGCTTCACATGTCCCACTAACACTACCATCACCTGGGGCACATGAATTGCCAGACCAGGGGGATTAGCCTCTGCCCAAACCTTTGGAAAATTTTGAGTGCAAAGGGGGGAGCAGATTGTTCCATAACAAAAGATTCCTGGAGGTGATACTCCTCTTGCATAGGCATAGTGACAGTTAAGATGTGAGCCTCAATGGAAGAGTCCTCTCCCATGGTTAAAACAGTTTCCTGGGAAGTAAAAGAAATCTGAGCTCTGAGCTTGTGAAGATCTTGGCCCTGCAGGGGGAAAAGTCAGTCAGGCATGAGCAAAAAGGAATGGCTCGCCACATGTTGCCCAAGCTGAACCTGCCATGGCACACAAAAAGAATAGGTTGAAGTTTGGTCAGTTCCCCCTTGAATATGCACTTTCTGACCTGAAATTGGGGCTATCAGCTGGGTCATCAATGACAGATCTGCACTGATACCGACTCAAAATCTAACAGGTTTCCCCCCTACATTAGTGCTTAGCACGGGTTCCCTGGGGCTGAGAGACAAGGACCTATGACCCCATCAATCCGAAACTTCCACTGAGTCCATCATAAATACTTCCTTTTTCTCCCTCTCCTTGTCTAGCAGCTTTGGATATTCCCATTTGAAATGCCCCTTCTTGCAATAGGCACATTATTCTGGGTCTAGGGGACTATGACATCCTCCTCCCTGTTTGCCTTTCTCTTTTTTTTCTGTAGCTTCTAACTGTGCCGCCTCCTTGTAAGCTGCCAACATGAGTTTTATTTTTCCTGCTTAAGTTTGCAGTGTGCATCCTCTCTATTATGGAACACTTTGAGCAATCTACCAACTGGGACAAGTTTATCCCTGCAAGACCTTGTCTGTGTAACTTGCAGTGTATATCAGGGGCCAACTGAGCAACAAAGGCCTTATTAAAGTGCGAGCATTTTTGGGCACCTCTTAGTCCAAGGGTATATATGTCTGAAAAGCCTCCATGAGGCACTCAAGAAATGCAGTGGGGCTTTCAGTTGGTCCCTGGTACACCTCTGCAATCTTGAGTTAGTGGGGTGATTAGCAGCAGAAAGAAGCCCTTTTTTCAAGGACCAATGATGTTCACTTAAAGCATTTAGTCCCTCCTCAATATTATAATACCAGTTCAGGGTGTTCTGCAACACAGTGTAAGTTGCTGCTGCCATTTTATCCTGCTCAGTTCCCTCAGCATCTAATCTCACCTGTTCCTCAGCTGCTTTTTGAATTCTCTTTCCTCAGAAGTAAACAAAAACTAACATTCTGTGGAGTCATCCCAAGTGGAATGATGAGTCTTAAACACTGAATCAAGCAACAAAGGCCAAGGCTGTTCTGAAGTTCTGAGTTCTCCAGTTATACAGATCATTCGTGAAGGGAACATACACCAGGGTGGACTGAGGGTTTCCTCCCAGTCCCACGATGGGTGCCTGCCAGAGAGGCAAAACAGGGACCAGACCGGAGTCAGCCGTTGGCTTGGGGGAAGGCTGCCTCTGGTGGTGAGAAGAGTGAGGGACCACAGGTTCAGCACCACGGTGGCATCCCTTATTAAGCTGCGGTGCCAAAGAGGAGCCTATACCTGGTGAAGGGGGGCATAGGGCTGGGGCACCAGAAGGGTCAGGATAGGGTTGCAGTGGAGCCGAGAGACGAGAGGCAGGATTGTTTTACTTAGGGGCTGAGGGCAAAACAAGAGGCTTCTGGTTTGGGGACCTTTCTTTGATTACCAGAACTCAATCAGGAAAACCACAAACATATTCTGAGCCATTGATGCAACATTTGAACTGCATGCAGCCAGGAATCTGTATAAGGAAACTGATTCAATGCCCAGATTTTCCTGTGACTACCGTACTGGTTATGTGAGAATTGATCATCCCCTCTGGTTGCCAGACCACATTGAAAGAGGGCCACCCTGGTTCACATAGTGTGTGAGTCTTTCCCTTCATCTTTACCCCATAGGCCCCCTTAAATTTATCATATTTCTTGATCATGCACTCCAGCATGGTCAGCTTGCTGCTGACTACTCCCGTAGCAATTACTTAGGGCATTTGCTGTCACAACCCACAATGCAAGCAAGAAACCAAGGCTAACAAAATTTGAAACGATAGCTCTAGTGGTGATGTGGGGCTCTTTATGCCTCTAGATGGACGATGTAGACAGGCAGAAAGGGCAGAAGAGCACCACCAGTCCTCTGAACCAGATGATGAATTCAGGTGCAATCTGAAGCACGAGTGCATTTGGGAAACAGAACAGGCAGACAAAACTATTCCTGGGAGCTATCAGTCACCTCCAACCATCAGTTTGAAGTAGTATTAGCACCACAACTGACAAAATCCAAAACAAACTCAAAAACCAGTTCTGAACAAATTCAGAGACAAATTGTGAACAAACACAGAGACAAAGCTCTGCTCAAATTCTGAGCTGCTCTGAGACCAAACAGCTGCCATGTCTGGGAGCCTGGGCCCATCAAATTGTCAGTTGGGAAAGGAAACCAAGTCCCTGGATGAGCCTAAAGACAGACAAATGATTCCAACTGTTAATCTTACCTAGGTCAGAGAGCGGAGCTTAGTTGTCCAGTTTCATAACTGTGGCATCCTGCCTCACAGGCGCTTCTAGATGGCCAGCTGAAAGCAGGGGAACCCTGCCACCCAGAGAGTGGCTGATGAGGCTAGGAGGAACAAGGTATCCTCAAACAAGGGTCTTTAACATGATGCAAATCTCACTGGCTCGGGCCTCCAGGTGTTACGGTGAGATTCAACAAGAAAGGCACTCATGAGAGACCGAATATCTAGGAACAAACAAAGCTTTATTTGAAGCTGGTGACAGACCGTCTCTGACAAAAGAGCCAGAGAAAATGTCTGCCCCAATCTAGACTTTGCTTCAGTTTAAGTATCTTTTAGGTTTCCACAGTAACCATACAACCACATTACCTCATTTTTGGGAATACAAGTGTATCACATAATTATCAAAAGGTTAACATTTTCCAGAAGTTGCCACTCAATTTGTCCTGTGTGTTTTGTTCCCATTTTATAGCTCTATTTCCTTAGTGGTTTTATGGTCAGCTACAGGCAGGAGAAGGAGTGAGTTCATCTACAATTTAAGTGAATTTAAGTAGCTTTTAAAGTGGAGTTACAGAAAGAAAATGGAGTCTCTCTAGCCCTGTCATCACCACTCCAAGTCGCTTCAGCTCTGACAATATCTGTGTCTTCCCTCTCTGCTCTTAACACTCTCTGCATCTTAAAGACTCCCCACACCCACTTCTGCTCCCATGGCTGCTGTGTACTTTGGCATTTTTAACATTCTCTCCCTTTTTAAGACCTCCCTCTCTCCTGCTGTGGCTGCTCCCTAGTCCACTCTCTCCCCTCACCCCCTGGGACAAAGAGTGTCTGCCTACTTTCCATGGTTTTTAAATCCAGTGCTGATCGTGGACATTCCCCAGGAAGGCTGATTTCCCTTGGTGGTGGATCAATTGCAGTGACAGATGCCTTGGTCACTCAACCCCATCTCTGTTACAGCCCTGAGTCCCAACTGTAGATGTCTGTTACGGACCTTGTTGCTGCTCTCATTTTGTCACCTCAGGCATGGCAGTTACCTCTCTGCTGTCTATGGGAAACATTCTGTCTTCTATTCCTTCCTCTCCCCTAGCAGGGACAGCCACTCCTTTCCTTCCCACAGTCTACCCCCATTTCCAGTCAGTCCCCAGGCTGTCCCTCGGCCACAGCTTTCCCCAGCAAACCTTCTATCTATTTGG